CTTTCACCCCTCTTCCCCTCCCACTCTTCTGCCTCCTGCCAATTCTAGTGCAATCAGTTACAGGAGCGAAACCTTGCCACATTTCATTGCTCAAACTGCAGATCTTCACCATTAACACAGAAGTGACAGGCAAATACAAGATTCAAATTCTGAACTGCATGGTTCCTACCCAGCTGGTAGACACATAAATAATAAATGCACACGGTGCCAAAAGGGTACCTCGGGGTGTCTGACATGCGAGTTACCTAATGGAAACAGGTTTAATTTCAGAGATTTACATACCTGGTAACTGAACACAAACTCACTGCAGGTTTGAATCTGAGTTTGGGCTTATATCCCAGTTCTGAATTTATCTCAGTAAGTCATGATACTATATTCAGCGTGTCCTGTGCACATGATCTCTGCTGACAACCCACAGACCTAAAAACCTTCCAAGTACTTTTAAAGAATCTTTTAGGACAGACAAAAAGCTATGTCTAATTACATTTCTGCTCTTCTGCTCTATTCTAACTCTAAACAAGCTGGCAGACCGCTACTCAAGTGAAGTGGTGAAGTTTTCCTGCCACGGAGGTCACTTTCAGCGTGCCATATCACTTCTGGAAAGTATTATATGGCTTTGCTGTAAAGTGCCGTGCAGGTGTCATCCACTATATGCCGAGTCCTACCCTTAAAGCCTGTAAGGAAAATCATTCACTAGAAGAAAGGAAAGAAAGAAAGAAAGGGGAAAAAAACCCCACCCACCAAACACAGACTATGCTAATCTGGAAAATATTGCTTTATCTGTGAACAGGAGGAAAATTCAACCGTCAAACACATTTCACATCTATTACGGCAAAGAAAGAGAACTTTCAATTATGCTTACCCAGCTATCAGAGGAACCAGTAATACAGATTTCTGTCTGGCTTCTGTCACTTTACGGACTTCGCTCCCGTCACCAGAACATTTTAATTCTGAACCTGGCTCATTGTGAGGGGGGGAAATAAAAAGAAAAAAAAAAGCAAAGTCTCTCTTCCCGGTGGTTGCGCAGGTCCTCCCGGCTCCCCCGTAACGCAGGCGGTCCAGCTGGGCTCCTACAGCGGCGGGAGCGCCCGTCCGCAGCCCGCAGTTTCCTCCCAGGGTGGGTTATTTATTTGTCTGGAGCTGGCACGCACGAGTTTCTGACTCTTACAGGTAATTTTGAAAAACGTGGTTTGAAAGAATATGAAAGAAAGCAGCACAGCTTGGTGAACACGCACAGCCGAGAGCAAAAGGTTTGCCTGCGGCTTTTAAAATGCTCGTTGTGTCTTTGGTGAAGGAGATTGAATGAAATCATTTATATTAGCTGCAATCTCTGGCTGACTCCACTGATCTCCATAATCAAATGCAAGAGATTTAGAGGGGAGAAGGGGAAAGCGGGTAGGGGAAAGCGTGCATAATTAAAACCTTGTTCTAATCCTGCTTTGATGCTTTTGCCAGGACAGGTTGGACTACTCAAAAGACCCAAACATTTTAGGTAGATTTTTGCTTTGTTTTTTGGGTTTTTTTTATTCTGTCAGTGGCTGCAAAGCAGCAAAGTGGTTATTAGCCTTATAAGGTATCAAGGTAAATATTTCAGATCCCCAGTGAATTTCAGTCTCTCCCAACTCGGTTTATTTATTCTTGTCAGTGGACAGTGAAGTTTTGTTATTTTTCTTTTTATCTTTTTTTCTTTTTTTTTTCTTTTCCTCTCTTTTCCCCCCTTTTTCTCTCCTCTCTTTTCCCCCCTTTTTCTCTCCTCTCTTTTCCCCTCCCCTGAATTATTTCCTCGATTTGAAACCTCAACAAAAATGAGCGAAAAAGACTAAGAACAGACTGTTAGAGCAGTAGTTAGATTTGTAGTTCAGTCCTCTGATTGCTCCAGTTTTACTACAGGCCTTCAGAAGCTCTTTAGGAGACTGGGAGCTGCATTTGCTCAAGTTCATTTTTTCCCTGAGACACTGGGCTATTGGTTGTTGCAGACTTTCCAGTTCTGGTGAGATTTGTTCTCTCACAGCAGTTGGACAGCTTTTAAAATTTTACCCAAGGTGTCTTGAAAATGTGAACAGCAGCATAGCTCCATTAAAGCCACTAAAATTTTCCAAACAACAGTATCTGGGTTCTGGGTTAGGTTTTCCTAAGTTATGCTGCAAGCATATTCTGTTCTAGACTGGCCTGCTGAGTGCAAGCTTCTTTTGAATAAAGGTTTGCCCTTTTGCAGAGAGAGGTGGTCTCTGATCCAGCTGAGGTGGTGCGGGTTGCATGGCAAGGTACTGACGCAGCAATACTTTGAAGGAGCATGGCTGGTGATACTTTTGCAGCCATGTCCCACAGGCAGAAGAATGTTAACAAGCAAACGAGTGCCCACAAAGAGTAAGTGCACACACTGGAAGTTATAATTTTGTTTCCAGGTGTTACACACTCTGACCATGCTAACCAAAACAGTCGATGCTAATGCATTATGGCCAGAGAGCAGGTTGTAGCCTGAATACAGTGCCCTTCCTAAACAAATTTGTCTATACGTGTGGATGTCTTTGTGGCCTGTGTCTATAGGCTATTTTGCATAAA